CCTTCCCCACCCCTCCCCACGGAAATATGTTAATTTTCACTTGTACAGCAATCGTTTGAACAGCACCGATCTCATTTTAAACAGTATATATTGAGGGTTTCTCTGTGCGGCGGATCATTTTGTACCTAGTCGGGGTTGCGCACGGTATTGCAGTTCTGATTTGCAATTACCGAAGCGATGGACAGAGGTTCGAGCCGTCGCGCTGGTTCTTGTGAGATCATCCATGCAAAATCCTGTAAGCATTAAAGACGCAAATTGAAAATAAAGCCTCCAAGCTTATGTGAAGCGCTCCTCTTTGTACCAAGAAATGGGGGAGGGATTACGCTCGTGCCTTGAATATTTATTGGGGGGCAAGCATGCGTGACCGGTCTGATGAGCTTTATCAAACGTGTCGTCTTTGATGAATATCAAACAATACTATTTGGAGCATTTTGCGCGCATGAGATAAGTATCGGACGTGCCCAAATCTAGGCTGTTTACAGAGAATTTTAGTTACTTAAGTTTTGATTTGCACCACTAAAAACATACTGTGGTGTTCAGATGTAAGCGACGACTGTATGACGGCGATATCAGGGGAGTCGTTTAACGCGGAACACAATCTGGCGCCGTCAGAGTCATCGAGTGCCGAAAGTAATTTGATTTTAAAATCGCTACATGATGGGGGAGTAGGATGCAGTAGGCGTAGCATATATCGAGAGTAGGGAAATTGCTGCCATCCGATGCAATGAGGACCTGTCGAACTGGAAAAGACAAGGCAAAAGTTCCTTTAAAAAATAGCAAATTTATCTCGAGATAGTAAATTTGTCCCTGTGGCATCTAATTGAAAAAAGCCGTAAAGAAGTAATTTGGAAGAAGCTGATTTCAGAGGGCAAGAATAAGAGGCTGATTTCAGAGGGCGGGAAAATGATAAGAGATGATAAAAAGAAGGTATTTCAAATACAAAAGCAACAAATTTAAATGATTTTGCTGCTACAACTCCTCGTTGGACACCCCATAAGAGCATCCTTATTTTTGCTCAGGTGCAGCGCCGAGTGCTGACAGCTCTGAAAGCGCGGGTGCCTCATGCGAGATGTCAAGTTTTTCAACGCCGAGCAGTGCCTCGGACTGCTCCAGCAAGAGCGAACAAAGTGTTGGCTCTCCTCAGGTACATAATATGCTGATGCAGTAATGTGCACGCAACAATATAAAAATGGAAACAAGGAGCACGTGAAGCATGAATTTAAATTTGCCAAGCCACACGCGGCTGGGGAACATTTGTCTGAAATTTCACTTTCCTAGCTTTTGTGGTTCCTGAGTTGGAAAGCAAGGACAAAATACATTCAGACACGCGCACACGCGAAGATAGGAGTTTGACAGTATTTTTTTTTTTTTGCGCAATTCTTACGCAGAACAAAACGCACGGCAAATACAGAGAGACACGCATATACACAGAATACAAGTACAAGCTCACATACACCCAAATAAACTTTTCTTGAGGAAGTGGATTTTGCGTATTTTTTGCATTTATACAATGCAAAAATGCTTATTGTTGATGAAATGTCTGTATGTGCGTTTGTGTGCCTATGTCTTAGCCTGTGCCGAATTTTCACCTCGAGACTTGCAAAAGCAAAAAAGCTGAAGCTTTGGCAGCCTGATCAACATTTGTGTGTGGGTCTTTTCAACATGAATGCTCACTTCCACGTCTTTTCTCTCGTGCGGGAAAATGAAAGATTTTTTAGCGGAAAAGAGATTTCGAGAACCACGCAGACTAGAAGGCTGAGATTTTTCTTGTGCAAGTCCAGCCCAAAGATTTTTAATCCACCATCGCTCACCCCTAAGTTTCACACGCATATTACGTCAAACTTTATATTAGCGTCATGCCGGTTCGGGAATTAAGCTAACCAAGAAATTATAAAAAGCTGTAATTTTGCAGAGCTGCTTGTCGATCACTGACGTGCTCGCGAAATTAAATTGAGCTTTCCAGCCCTTCTGCATCCCGAATAAGGACACTTAAAATTTGACCTAGACGGTTTTGCAACTTTGGAACTGGAGCAGTTAGAGGGCTGAATCTTTGCGAGCGTGGCTGGCGGTGGCTTTCAGCTGCTTGGAGGTGAAAACAACTTCCACGTTTCCTTCATGTCCCGCGTGCGTGTCACGCACGAACAAGTGGATTTTAACGTAACTCTGTAATCAGAGCAGTAACACTGTTGAAATTTTCAGTAACTAGCTCTCGAATGTGTTCGGACAGGTGCTCATAAAAAATACCTTCCTACTCTCGTCACGTACGACCACGTGAAATTTGACGTAATTCGTCAGTCAAGGCAGGTGGGGTGAAGAAATTTTTTGATCGGATTACGCTTGGGCGGATACACGTGAAAGCAAATTTTCGTCCCTTCCAGTTGCAAACACGTGAAATTTGGAGTAACTCTGCAACTGAAAAAAATACGTAGAGTGCTGAATTTTTTTGGGAATGGCCAAGACTGAGATTGTTGGGGTTCTTACAGTCGTGGTGGACAGTCTTAACTTTTTTAACTAGAAAAATTAGCTAGAAATATCCGAAAAGACAGTATTAAAAACGCATCTCGGAAAGATGGTATTAAAACGAAAAGATAGTATTAAAAACGCATTTCTATTAAAAACACATCTCCTCATCAACAGTCGGTACGCTGTCGAATTATTATTTTATGTATGCAAAAATACAGTGCAGCAAAGCGTCTAAAGCGCCTGTACTTGATGTAGTAGCTAGACTGAGTTCAGGCCACCGACATCACTCAGTGTGACGATTATGACACGTTTGCAAATAGTATACTAACACACATGATCGACAACCTGCGAACAAAATATCTTAATGAAGGTATCCTTTCTATTAGAAAAATAAGAATGTAATATCAGCATTTATCCAACAACTAATACTGGCCTAAAGGACAAATACAGTAATGATAAAAGAAAAAGAAGAGACCGAACTTATAATATTGATATCAGTTGCCTAAAGATTAAGTTAGAAATGGTAAAAAATATAGAGATAACATAAGAAAAAGTAACGAAATACAATGTCAAGGAAAGAATCCGTCAACTAAGGGAAGTGAAATGGTATAAATCTAAAACAATGGAAAAAAAACAAATACTGAAAAGGAATGTTTCAGTCCATTAAGTCGTATTACATTCTTTATCACTACCTCATTTGGACCTCGTCAGTACAATAGTTGTGACAGAGTATTAGAAAGTTTGATCCCTCTGTAGCAGGTGGGTTTTTGCGACTAAGAAAGTCACCAGGTGTGAAAAATTGCGAAACTGCTTCATGAAAATAAAACGTATAAATGAAGGCGAACATGGGCTAAAACAGAATCGCCCACAGCTTTTTTGCAAAAAACGTACCTTTGCTTCGGTATAAGTATACCCACCGGGAGGGGTAGAACGATCCCAATATCATCAAGCTTTTCACGATCTGTCTTAAAACAATATTTCGTAAGCTGAACGAGAAAGGGATTTAGATATCAATGGCTGACAGCTAGATCATTTATGCTTTGTGGACGACACAGGTCAGTCCTAACGAGATAAGTGAGATGCTGCAAGAGCACAGTGCACGGAGCGAGTCTGAAAATCAACTTACTGAAGACGACTGTGAAGTGCCGATATATCCGCAGTAGGACTACAAATATTTGTTCACTAGGAATAAGTGATAGTGAATAGGTGGTCACTCTTTCACAAGAACATTTTCGAGTACTTACAAGGGGTTGTTATGGATCTGCAGTGAGCGAATGCTATAAAATCTTGTCCTGATGCTGTTTTTCATCAAATAGTATGCATCAAAGCTTCAAATTTATAATCTACTTTGTTCCAAAATTGTGCCAGACGTATTTGAACTTAGCAGTCCGGGGAGCTATTAAGCGTACATATTCTGAAGCCAGAACGGGAACACTGTATGCACAGAAACTACATACTTATCAATTTACTGCCAATTTAATTTTGTTTGTCTTGTTTCGCTTTTTTTAACTGTCTGCTTGAACTTTTTTTAGATGCACGGCATCCTTACATCTTGTCTATTACTCTCTTTTGGTCTTCTAACCTGCGCCATAACGCTTTGAACTGCGGTTAAAATTTGGGCCTCGTTGTTCATCGCTCTTTGTAGTTATAATATTTGCTTAAAATTGATTCGTTCAGAGGATCGAAACATGTAACCTTTTTGTTTCTCCAGATACAAATGCAAACGGAACTCTTCTAGTTATTGATTTTTACTGCATCATTGGTGCCGGAAAGGCACTTGAAAAGCAAAATATGGAATACTCGTTGATTTTAAAGATACGTTCTAGATAATGCACGAGTGATTCTGATGCGACGAGGTGAAACAGTCAGTGAAGTATTTCCGGACTGGACAGCCAGCGCCTTCGATGACACCAACACCTATGTGTTAATATTTTATTTTATGATCTTTGTTGCCTACATCGCTACGTCAAATCACCTTGTAAATAAGAAGATACGGATGCATTTTGTGCACATTCATTTACATAAATGCATGTTCCTTAATGGAGAACAACAGATGGACAAAGCAGATTGTATGTCATACTATGACCGAGCGAGATAAACTCGGCTTAAAAACGCCTCATAATTTGAACTGGAGAGACATCTGAGTGATATGAAAAGCTGTTTGTTACTGTTCCGAAACATTTTGCAGGCCATACGATCTTAATATGCCGCATACACTCCGAAAACGTGAAAAACATACCGACTATTTGGTTAATTTTTATTCTGATTTAAAATCAAAAATTTTATTTGTTAGAGAAGCATTAGTAGTAGCCATAGGGACGATGCTTCTCGTCTGCGTTGCTTCTTTTCTCTTTTACTTCCGGCTTCATCAAAGTGGCGAATATTCATTTTTCTTGAGAACGAACGAGTTAAAACTTAGCGAAACACTGAACACATCATGCCGCTAGTCTAGAGGATTACTGCAAGTTTTGTGTGCTAATGTGGTGAAAATTCAAATTCAGGGAGATTCAGGGAGAAAAGTTGTTGAATCATTTTGACAGCATCAATAACAAAAGTGTTTGAAGTTGGATCCGCCACTGACCAATATCAGTGCTCACTTCGCAGCGGAAATTGGCTTTTCAATGACTCAGAATCTACCAACAGTGCTCTATGCTGCACCGGAAGTAGCTTCCATTCAGACTGCTCGGCAGCTCATGGATGGCGCCGAGATTGGAATGATTTGGACGATTGAACCGGGACTTGCCAGATTCTGCTCGCCTGATGAAGCAAAACCAGGTATGGTTTTTCTCACCAATAGTTAGCTGTAGGCGATAACTGTAGGCAGAGCGAGTAACACTTTTCCCCTACAACAATTTACAGCCTCAATAATCACATTTAGCACTCGTTGCCAATACTTTATAGTTTTCGTATTTGCTATTTAGCGTGCGATTATTTGTGGCTGCTTCCTCTTCCTTACTCTGTTATTCTTTAAATTTATTCCCGTTCATCTTTCTTAAAATTATAACACATTTTCTTATAAAAATTTATTTCATTTTATTTATTTCTTTTATCAACAATACAACCGTAGGGTTTAGAGTGCTAAATAGGATTGTTTAAGATGGACCAAAACTTTCCATTTCATCAAATTTTTTAATAAAATTTTATATAATTTTATATATTTTTTACATACATTGTAATGGCTGTACTGCACTAAACTGCATTGATTTTTATGGCCATTTGAAGTCTCTCGACTCTCGCTACAGGCACCATTTCTTTTCACTTTTATCACCGATTACGTTTTTCATGCACATGCGCAATAAGTCTAACAGAGCAACAATGTGCAGAATATTTATTAAAATTAGTTTTCCCTATGCATATAAAACTAGTATTTCATGTGCATATATGTCCTTATATGTACTTAAAGCTTCACTAAAACGCACACACAATAATGCACATACAAAACAATTTCAAAGCAACACGAGCGACTGTAAAATTAATCGGTCTGGGTACTAAATCAAAACACGAATGGAACGATGCTGAAAGAGCTGGGAAGATCATAACTGATGGGATTTCACCTACATGATGCGGCCACTTCTGTACTGGCAGACACTCTTGGGGTGTTGATTCCATTAATATTAACACCGAATTGTCTCTTTCCTTCTCGTTAGGCCTCTTTTAAAAACTCATGATCTTTATCGAGGCTTCGAACACTACAAGTTTTTAACATTTGTTTGCAATCTTCAACATTGGGAAAAAGTACATTGTAGAAGGATGTTTTTAAAACCTCGAATTCAGGGCAGAACTCCGATCCAATTTCTGATGACATATTTAATATTCTCATTTGTTTTATTTTTAACTATCCTATTATAATTTTATTTCTGTCCACCTGTGGTACCATTATTCTTTTGCTATGTATTAAGAAGGAATTTCCCAAATATCACTTATTTTCAATATAGAAATGGCAATTTTCGACATATCTCTCGATAAGAAGCGTTCCTCGATTTCCTGATAGCATCGGTGACTAAAGAAACAAAATGATCAATTTTTGCACCCGCCGATTACTTTATTTTGAAAAAAAAAACCTGTGTTCTGGACACTTCTGTGCCCAATTGATGCATACTGATGCTTAAAAAAGCCTCAGATATTCAATAAACCAAGACTAACATAATTGGCCACCGCACTGGCTGCCCGTGCGAAGATGCGTTTTTTGCAGAGTTCCCCGCAGTTTTTGTCGCTACCGGCCTCGGT